ACTCTAAAAAACAGATCTTTGTGTATAAACACTTAAATAATTGTTCTCATGTTTTTCTATGTGTAGACATGGTAAAACCCTCCTTGCATACAACTTACATGGGTCCGTACAAAGTACTTCGACGGGGTGATAAAACTTTTACCATATCTAAACAAGGACATCAAATCACTGTGTCTATCGACAGAGTAAAACCTGCTTATTTAGTCCCAGATGATGTATCTGAACCTCCTAGTTCAACTGATGTTGATAAGGCCTCATCACAGCAACCAACCCATCCAGTAAACGAACAGCCACCTGAAAAAAGTGCTCCTGCGAAAGCAAATTATCAAACTCGTTCAGGACATCGTGGCCACTTCCCCAAATTTTCCCCCTCTCTTTTTCAGATTTTTAGCGGATTTTCTTTTTTCAGGAAGGGAGATGGTGTGGGGCTACCTCCCCCCCATATTTCTTCGGCACTTCGAGTTCTCCTCTTCGCGCATGTGCGATAAGAATATCATCTTTGCACGACTGCAAAAGAGAACTTTCGCCTTCTGTTTTTACAAGTTCCATGTACGCGTTTTACTCATCGCTGAGATTCCTGTTATTTATTGCCATGTACGTATTTTGATTAATTAAAGAATTTATTTTCCTAAATTGGGTGTCTAGCCATTAATCAGACCCCAAATATATACATTAATTTTGGATGTTTTATGATTGTTTGTATATTAATAATTAAATACAATCTGTTTATCTTCTAGAAAATGATAAGAAAATATTAATTTTTAATTGAAAATCTAATGGGACATTTTGGGATAAAATTTAAAAGGGATATTTTGAAAAGTGCAAAACTTATTAAAGATAGTGTGCCTATGGAAAACCAAAATTCTCATGTGCATTAAATTTAACGAAAAATTGTTGCTGATTCCATAAAAAGATTCTGACTTTTGAAGGGGAATTAGTCCCTTCCCATAAAATTGCCAACGATTCATTCTGACAGCATATCGTCTCTCTTGCATTTTTGAACAATACTCCTATGCCAAAATGTAAAAAATGCAAAGTAAAATAATTTTTAAATTTAAGTCTATTTTCAAGAGATGCAAAAGAAATTTCCCGACACGGTGTAAGACAGCATATGTAAAGACAATAAATGTAGTAACTACAAAGCAATATATAAAACTTAAGGATCAATGGTTACAAAGTAAAACTTACTTCATAGATATAATTATAATACAATTTAAAATATTTTAAATTGGTCTTATCAATATTTGGATTTTTACATCAGTCAAACTATATATATTTTTGGCAACATATATATTCAACAACAGACACATGTACTGGTTTTTCTTCAATACACCTCTTAAATTTTAACATAAATCTTATCTTCCAGTTTTAATACCTTCAGCTGGAAAATCCTGATCAGAAAAATTATTGTTAAATGTATCTTCAGAGGGATACAGATAATTTCCTTTTCAGTTTAAAATACATAGAAAAACATTAAATGTAATGTAAATATAGCAAGCATTGCTTCAAACAACTATTCTTTTAAAGCATTTCTTTTTTACCTGTAAAGATCTTGATTGTGATGTAGTCTGTACAGAATGTTCAAGAGCAGATATATCTCTCTCCCTGATAATATTCGTAACATGTCAGAAGGTGAGAGGTAGAACTGGAATAAGCTTTGTCTACAGTAAAAATAATATTTTCACAAGATGCAATAGATGCCAACCTGGGAATAACTAGGAGGTTTACCTGCTTTGTGGCAACACCATTTCAAAGGAACTCCAGACTGACTTTAGGTTATAAACTACTTTTAATATAATTATGATGTATAATACATTAGCAATTATATATTCTAAATTTTATGTTTTTTGGCTAATATTCTTTTCAAATTTTTTTACACTTTTATACTTAGTGAATCCCAAGTAGTGAAGGAAAGCTTTTAAATATAATGAAAATAAAATGTACACAGTATGTTTAAAAGTATGGAAAGCTTTTAAATATAATGAAAACCAATGTACACAGTATTTGTATGGATAGCTATATCATATAAGCTAAACTCCAGCCGAGTAGACCATGACCTGCAGTGCTCCAATATTTGCTTTACTGACAATTGGCTCAAAAGTGTATGAGCACATGCCCTGGACAAGTGGTAAGCTTATCGCAAGACACCCCCCCCCCGGTCTTTAGTCGACAAGCAAACTTGGTACTCATTTTATCGACCTACTCAAGAGATGAAAGCGTGAGTCAACCTTTCCCAGCCCGGGAATCGAACCCTGGACCTGTGGTGCTGCTGAGCAATGTGCTACTTACTGCGCCACCGAACCTTAATATATTAAAGTAAAATAAAATTCAATACAATTATTAACTGATTAAACATTGCTTGAATCTTTATATAAAAATCTTATGAATTTCTAGAGTAAATTAAGACAATTCAGATCAAATAAAATTTAATAAAATATATGATTCACATGAAATAAAATTGGATAAGAAAAATTATTTTGAAAGTCATTAAAGGTGGAAAAATAGAATTTCCCTAATTTATGTTTTGTTAATTCAATAAATTTTTTATCTATTGCTGAGAAACTGGGAGACTCCCAGTATTTCATCACATCTTTCGGCAGGTCACCAAATCGCACGATTTTCAAAGCCATTACTAAGGAAAATGTTTCTCAAAGCCAGGGGATTTGGCAACTATGACATGCATATAATACGAGAGTGATTTTTTTTTCCAAAATTATTTTATTGGTGATTGCAAAAATAGACAACAATGTGTTAATAAGGGATTTAAAATTTTTTTCCTTCAAAATTTGGTAAAATGGGACCAAAAATCAGAAGCATATGTAGGGAGTGGTGGTGTGGTGTATTTATTTACGGCAAAGCACACTAGGGCTATCTGCCTAAGGGGAGGGATGCCTTCCTGGAGGACTTTCTAAGGGAAACTGGCTCGTATACACGTTACACATGGGGAAAACCACGAAAACACCCATGCAGCCAGCCTGTTCGCGGGATTCGAACCTCGGACCGAACTACCAGTGTTCAGCGTCTTCACTGCTCGGCCGCTGGTGGGCGCATATGTAGGGAGAATCTAACACACAGCAATTAATATATTATTTTTAAAAGGAGCAAGAGAACATGACTGATAATGCAAAAGCAAGTCTTCAGTTGCACGACATCAACAAAAATATCATTCATATGTCTTTTTGTTTGCAGAAGAATTAAAAAAAGCTAAGATATTTCCCAAAGAATTAAATTTAGGAAAAATAACTTATGATTTTAGACAAGAAACTGGGAATGAGAATATTACATGCAAAGATCATCCAAAAATATTTGACCACTGAACAAAAACTGAATAGGAAAAAGTGCTCTGCTGACTAGTCAAGCTGTAATTATTCTGACAGGGGGATTTGGGATTTATGGATGTGAATGAATACATGCAGAGCAAAGAGTGGAAAATGAAGAACAAAATCTTGAAACAACATATCAAAAATCAAAATTATGGACAATGTTTCATCAAAATCTGTGAAATCATGCAACATTAATTTGTCCTAGAAAGACAATTTACAAATGCATCATATTACATGGCTTACTTAAGATGAGTGAAACATCACAGAATTGCAGAAACTTGGCAATATAAATAACTTAGCACTGTGCACACTGTCATCCCCCCCATTTTTAAACAGCAACTTGTTTAAAAAAAATCAGGCACTGAGCACGCTGTTTTTTCCTGTGTATACAGTAATCTGTTTCAATTTTTTAAAAAATTAAAAAATTACACAAATTTTGCATCAGTGCCCTAATTTTAATCCATAAAATTTGACCGTTTACAAAGTACAACTCCAAGGAATGTGCATTTTTGCATTTCCTTAAGTTTAACATTTTCTGTTAGGCAAAATATCGTATTTCTAAAGAAATGAAATGCATTTTTCTTTATCAGCTGGCAAACTCCAAACTCGTCCCATTACGATTCCCTACGAAGAAAAAAAAAAAAAAAAAAAAATGCATGCGGTGCTACAAAAACAAACACTGATTGATGACTGTGGACTTTGAAGGTTAAATAGGGCTCCTCTGCTGTACCTGATGTGCACAGCCTGAGTTGCTTGAGAAATATATTTTAGTTAGCCATTACTTGGACATGAATACTTTTCATGGAGGTGTTGATAATCAGAAAGGAAACAATTTTCTTACCAATACGGTTAGCTATGACCATTATAAAGCCCTTACATGAAAAGAAAAAAAAAAAATATATCTGTTGTCAGAGCATTAAAATTTAATTACTAAATAAAGTTACTAGTTATTTTACCATGTCCTGTAACTACACTTTGAACCCGCAACATCAGTTCTTGAAGAAATATGCAATAGAAATTAGAAAAGATTGGTTTTAAGAACTGGCTTACAATTTTGAAACAATAATTTTTGTATTTATCTTTCAAATAAAGCACTAGAAAATTTAAAAGGGGGCTGAAGATTTTTATGTTTGATTTGTTGCTAATAGAATGAGTCATGAAAGCTATAAGTTAGATATTTAATAAAAGGATAATACAAATAGATTTTACTCTGTTTTTGTCTGCTCATTTTGTTTCAGTTATTTATTTTTTGCTAGCAGTCTACTAAATAAATAATTTTAATGCTAGAATGTGCTAAAATATATTTTCCATCTTTTAGTAATTTAATTAAATTTTTTTAAAAATTTTATTTCACTTTATTTTTTAAATAATATTGTGGGAGGGAGTATGCTATTTCCTGCAAGGATGGGTTAAAGGATGAACGTGGCAGCATGAAAAACATATGAATACTCATATTCCTGAATTCCATATTTCAAAATAGTTACAGTTATTACTTTCAATAATATTCTTTTTGATTACACGTATTTTGCTATCTGTCTATATCTTGTATGTTACTACTATAAACCAAAAGTTTCTAAGATATATGTTTAAAAATACATGAGGAGAAAAATATAAGAATAAATATACAGTAACTATTATATAACAATAATAATGAGAATCTCAAAGCATACCACATACCTGTTGTCTTAGAACTATTAGAATTTTGGCTATTAGAATCAGTATTCTCATATTTGACACTTCTGACAGATGATTTTCTTTTATGATTTTTAGTAATCAGATTTTTGTTACGCCTGGAATTGGATTTAGATGCATTTGCAGTTATATCAGTATTCTTGAATTTTCCACTTATTTTAAGATTTGATATGGTGCTCCTGTTTTCAGGAATTTGGCATCCATTGCTCCTAGAACTAGATTCAGATGTCTTTGTGGTTGAATCAATGTTCTTATTTTTAACACTAATTTTAAGATCTGATTCAGCTTCCACATTCTCAGACGTTAAGCTTCCATTGCTTGTAGAACGAGATTCAGATGTGTTTGCAATTGTATCAGTATCCTTTTCTGTAGCAATACCAGTTCTGATATCTGATGCACTTCTTCCATTGTTGGAACTTAAGTTTTCCTCTACCCTGGAGTTGTATTCAGATGTATCTGCACTTAAATCAGTATCATTTAAACCCTCAATTATGTCCAATATCATATCTTTTGCAAAATTCACCTTCTTACTTGTTAACTCAGAAATTGACGAATCTACTGATAATGTTAATATTCCAATCCTGTTAAAGGGGGAAAAATATCAGCAGCATTTCAATAACTCAAAATTTAGTATTTGTAAATAAAAAGATGCAGAACATAATATACATATAATGTTTCAAATAAAAAACTGTTTTTAAAAATTAAATGGTCTTTTTCTCCAGCAGCATTACTTTGGCTTAAATGGCATTTATTTTAGACGTCACAACAGAGAGTATATTTTGTTTGTAGAACTACAATTTTCTGACAACACATACCTGTAAAACTGAATCAACTCGTGGTTGTAGAAAATTTAGCAGCTTTATAATGCACAAAAGCGCTGCTGAAATCACTTTTTGGTCTGTTGCTTGCTGAACTTACTGACACATAAAAAAACTTAAAACTGTTTAAAAATCTGAATCACTTATAATCATCTGTAAAAAATTTCACGTTTTTCAAATTTAATTCCTCAGTAGATAAGAATTTATCAACTTTAAACTGTGTGCCATTACGTAAGCAATGGAATTAATTAACTCTGGTGTTAAGTTGAACCTCTAATATTATTTTTGTTTGACTAATTTAGAAAATTACATATGGCAACAGTGGAGGTTATTTACATTTTTGTTTTGAACTCATTCTTTTTATAAGAAAAGGATAAAAAAGATCATGGGTATTTGATAATTAATGAGTATTATCTTAAGACATTTATATTTTTGAGTGTTGTTTTGAGATGTTGAAACTACAGCTGTTACTTATAATATTTGTAAACTGTTTGTGTTGTAACGCAAAGTTTCATTGAATAACTGATTACACACATTTCTCAGACAATTGCAAAAGTAATGAAGGATTACTTATAGAAACAAAATCACCTTGTATGTGCATAATAGGGCGATCTCATTTGTTAACAAAAGACTCTTTAGTGTACTATTATGTAGGAATCATTCTGACAAACTAAGTTCAATCATGCACCTTAATAAAACATCTGGAGAGTTCCAATTCTTAATTTCACTTCGACACTAAATAAAATACCTTTATTGAAGAAACAATCATTTTAGCATAAATTTGCACGATCAGTAATTTGGCTCCGTTGCTGCGTATCTGCTTGGCATGCATCTCAAACTGAAACATTCCACATAGATACATCCTTGATCTGATGCCAAACTGGGGAATCATTATTTATTATACCTTCCTTTTATCACCGCATGTTAATCAAAACATGACAAATTGAGTAATAACTTATGTAGCGATGCCTAAACAATTATTTTATGTTAGTAATTGAGTAATAAAGGAGTGTGGTAAGCTTTTATGTTGACATTACACTTGGCGATGATTACAGATTTAAGTAAAATGCACTAAAAAATGTTGACGAGGAAAAATTTAACAAAAATTTCTTTCCATATGCTAAAAATGGATTCTGTTGATGATACTCTTAGACCCAAAGATTACATTTAGGGCTATTTGTATTAAGAATAATTAATTTGTTATTTACATAAACCCAGAAATAATACTTCATTATTTCATAAATCACGATTTCATATTTTTAATTTAATAATTTCTGTATGCCATCTTACTAGATTTAAAGTGATGATCTAATATCCGGGAAAATCCCAAATACAGAATGACTGAAGTCCCGAAGAGTCTGGATTTCAGACTTTGTACTGTCGTATAACATAAATTTGCAATAGATGAATTGGCTTTTTGAGAAAATATAGCAGAAAAATACATAGAGAGAAAATAGCAGAAAGATAGTCTCTGTAGAACTGTATGAACAACAACATCAGAGACAGTGTATTTCATGTTTAATGCAAACAGAAGGTATGTTCTGATTATTTGACATAATGTAAAATTTAAAGCAAAGAAGGTCAGGTTTCTTTTATCAGAAACAAATTTCTGTGATGCCACAACCACCTTATTTTCTTACATTTTCCACCTTTCTATCTCTTTATTATATCTCCGTCAAAGTGGCTTTAAGACGCTAATGTTCTCAGAAATCCAAGCTTTTCAAAATGATGTGACACCCAATCTATTAGAGATACTAAAAGTAGTAGTTTTTCAATGTTTCATATGCCAAGAGTACAAGACCAAGTGCTCGGTGATAAATTAGTATATTTCAAATAGAACTACCCTACAAGCATTTGCTTGTTAACTGTTTTAACATAGAAATATAACCAAGATTAGATAAAACATTGAATAGAACAAACACCTACAGATCTGAGGAATAAGCATTAGCTGCAAGATCAAGTTGTGGCTTGATCAACTTGAGCACATGTGGGTTGCCTTAGGACATCGAATTTCAACATGCCGAATTCCTCCCCAGAACTAAAAATCAAAACTAGTGTTTAATCAGCCAGTCAGTGCCGAATTTCAGCTCATCAAATTCCTCCCCAGACCCTCAAGTGCTTAAAAATGCACTTTTAGAAGAGTGGCATTCAATTCCACAAGACTTGATCAAGTTTGATAAAGTCTATGAAATCAAGATGCGAGCTATACATTATTTGTCCGAGGTGGCCACACACAATATTAAAGCAAAAAATTTTCCACAACAGGTGACTTAATTTTTCAATTATTTTCCAAATTTTCTATAAATTTGGTTTTAATTTCAATATTTTGCAAATAATCAACTGCCAAATGCAATTTATGTTAACTAATGCTTTTGTAGAAATTTCTATTAATTTTTCCTTAAGTATCAAGGTACTACTCTTATATGCTCCCTCAGGTTGCCAAATGTGGCGATATGTGTTCTGCGCTAGTTTTTGGCACGGTTGTGTGTTCTCTGGTTTTGGGGACGATGTTGTTTGTATGTCAACCTTTTTGATGTTGAAACTTACTCTTTCACTGCAGTGGTTTTATTTGCTCCTAGGTTCGTGTCGTACGCGTTTTGAAATGGAATGTTGCAATGAAAGACGTGGTGGGAAAATTTCAACCGTGGTATTTTGGATTGTGTGCAAAGTAAATTTAGTATTAAAAGGTACAATGTTGGAGTTATTATCAAGTCTTTTGTTCATGGGTGTGTATGCGGATTAAAGTGTATTTTTTGAATTTCTGTGGGAGTCAGGACTTCTGAAGTGGAGTTTGGCGTGTCTGAAATGTGGAGCTGATACGAGAAGTTGTAGAAAGAAGGTCGTTTCTGATAGACTTGTGTGGGTTTGCAGGCAAATGGTTGCTGGTAAAGTATGTGGCTGTCAGCAGAGTTTAAGATTTGGATCATGGTTTTCGTGTATAAGTTAACTTTGGGCGAAGTTTTTATCATTACCTTCGGAATTTTGAATCGCAGAAAGACGTGTGATATTGAAAAATCGTGGCACTTTTGTTCACAGATGTTGTGTGACCGGCAAAATTTCATTCATGAATATATGCTGGATTTTGTATGCGCTCGATATTTCTGCAGTTTGAAGAAGCATTCATTATAGTAAGTGCATTTTATTTTATCATTTTTATTTTGTAGAATGTCATGTTCACCATTTTTTGTAGTATGAATTTCTGTCATTATTGTTGTTTTTTGTGCGTGTATGTGATTATGGCAAAGCCTCGAGGGCTATCTGCCTAAAGGGAGGGAGGCCTTCGTGGAGGGCTTTCTAAGGGAAACTGGCACGTATACACGTTACACATGGAGAAAACCATGAAAACGCCCATGCAGCCAGCCCATTCGCGTGATTCGAACCTCGGACCGAACTATTAGTGTTCAGCTACTTTTACTGCCTGGCCGCTAGATTGTTGTTTTTTGAATTGTTTGTAATTGATTTTAGTTTATTTTGTTGATTAGTGAGACATGGATTCTTGTCCTTGTCAAATATTTTTGGTTAGAAATTTTATGTTTTTGCTATCTAAATTTTTTGCTTAAATTGTGTGTTCAAAACGTGGTTTTGGCAGGTGCGAAAACCGCGTTTTTGGAAACATTTTAGGCTTAAAGTTTGAAATGTAGACAAAATATTTAAATAGTAACATGGCACTGCGGAGTTTTTTGCCAAAAATATTTGGCGAGAAATTTGTCGCAAAGCGAGGGCGTATATAAGAGTTATTCGAGTATCAGTTATGTTTTATTTCTATCATTATCCTTTAATTTTGATGACCAGTGTAAAATCATGACACTGAATATTTGACCTCTCCTGTCAAAAGCCAGTCTCCAACTCTCTCTTTTCTCAACCTAGAGGATGCAATGTACTTTTAGAATTAAAGTTTACTAGGACCATGCACTGACCTTTCTATTTTCCAAATTGGAAATTCTCTTCAAGCATAATTCATGCTGAATTACTTACCAATTCTACCTTTAATATTGATGATGTGACAAAAATTTCAATTATCACATGTCCTTTACTTTTTTATGATTCCAGAAGTCTTCACATTCTACCATCAGAGGTATATTTATCATAAATAAGTATAATCATTCAAAGTATACAATCTGCATCTAAATCAATGTCCCAAAATTTACCATTTTTATGTAATTGACATGATATAAATAGGCACTGAGTTTTACTGGTAAATATATATTTCAAGGCATGTTTTTATTATGCACCTGCCATTTATTTTGGCACATGTAAAAGACAAGCCAAACACATGCCAAGACCCAAAGCTAATGCTACCTGGGAACCAAACCATTTATGTATGTATGTGTGTATGCTTAATTTAAGACATTTAATTGTGCATTTACATTTAAAAGGTCCATCAAAAACATGGCAGGTACGTAACAGAAAAGTACCTACTCCATAAATTTAGTTATTTAAGACTCACAATTAGAAAAATTAAATTATTTTAATAAACTTACGAAGGTGAATTCAAATTTACAACAGGTACAGGTAATTTATATATTAGAACATTAATTTCATGATGATGCAAGTGAACTAAAGTCAAATTAGCTAAATAATTCCTTTAAAATTAAAACACGAGATAAAAGATTTCCCTATTCTCTCTTCATACATACTGACAAAAAAAAAAAAATGCACTTTTCTGTTATGCAACTGGCACGCGTTTTTGGCACTTGTGAAAGAAAAGCTTAACACATGATGAGAACCAATGATATCACCATCAGAAGACTGCGTGTATATGC